AAGCTTCCACCAAGTTTCCATAACTTCTGTCTAGAGAGTAGCCACAGCGGACCTGGAATCTCTGATTGTGTATTCTTTACTTTTCACTTATTACGTCAGAAGCATCTCCCATGACCTTAACAATTCTTCAACATTCTGGTCGCTGTGTTCATTCCTACGAGTGACAGCTGCATCACTTATTTCGCTGATCCCCGATTCCTGGACATCCCGGTTGCTTTGGACTAACTCCACAAGGGATATCCATGTGTCTCGATGACTGTTTGCACTTCTGACCGTTTCTGTGGGGCGAATTTCCTAGTCTGGTATTTCTCCTGGGGGTCCCTTCCTTGAGGAGTTTCGGGGTGGTGGAGGGGTGGATGGTCCCTGGGCAATGTGGTCATGTGCTGCAGATTTGTTTTGGTGGCGGCTGACACTTTGGCTGGTTTCGACGCTCAGAGCCACCACTTCTGCCCCAGCTGTTTGTATCCCCTGAACAAGTCCTGCAAACACAGCTAAGGCCACGTTGTGGTGTCTGCACCAAGCTCAGCGGAAGATACAGTGCCTCCATGTGGGTGCTCTCATCCCAGGTCTGGGCCTCTCTCCCCACCGTTCTCACGGGGCAAGACCCAGCTCACCTCCCCCTGCTGGGGTGTCCCCACCTCCGCCCCAGAGGGCTTTCTCATTCTGCACCCTACAGTCTTTCCTGCCCCTGGATGCTGACAATAGGGACATCTAGTTCCTTCTGTGGAAACCCCCACACTAACCCCACATGGTACAAGAGCTCACACTCTATTTATTCACTGCTGGCAACATTGGGAATCCAGTCAAACTCTCTTTAGAGAAAATACTGTCCTTACCTTTCAAGGCACTATCAGGATAAAGATGTAGTTCATCCGCACAACTAAACAGACCCTGAACCCCTTGGTCTGTGGAATAGCATTTGGTTTCACAGTTTTCCCCCAGAACATTGTGTGGGTCCTGCCTTCCTGTGACTAAACGCCCCTTCGGGGCAAATTTCCTAAAACAAAGGAATGAGGTAATCTGCATCTTTCCAACCAGGATTCAGAACTGCCAACTTGCCCCTAGTGTAGCTCCCTTAATAGCATATAAAACAAATCCAGTCCCTTTTTAGCGGGTCCACCCCTTACACCCCAGGGTAGTATGAATGCGTGGAATGGCACAGATGTTTTATTTCAGGGGTTGCAGACTCACAGCTGAGCTCCATCTGGCTCATAGAAATGTTTTCTTTGCCTCATAATTGATCATCTTTTTTAAAGTTTGAGTTGATTGCCAAAATTTCATCGGGACATTTTAAATAAAAATCTGGGTTTCTGATTTTCTTTGAGAAAGCGTGAAGATCAGGCATCACAAGGCGGGCCTTCCCACATAGGGGTCCACAGCGAGAGGGGGTCAGGGCTTCCCCCCGTAGACAGGCGTCCATGCTCCAGCTCCCCGGTGGCCAGCCTTCCTCCTTGTCTCTCCCTTGTCCCTGCCTGTCAGTAACTCGTCATTCTTGTCCTTGTGTCATTGTTTCCTTACCGCCCACCCCCACCCCACCCCCATCATGTTTGCATTGCTTGTCTGGCCTCTGTAAACTTTACTTTGCAACCCTGGTTTTAAAGGTTAGGATACAGGTGGCCAAACTGATTTATAGAAAGGAGGCATTTTCTTGAGCAACTGGGTAGCCCCGTACCTTGATGTCATTTTGCTTTGGTTTCCCGGGCAATTGAAACCTTGCTGTGTGCAAAGGCTAGAAGCAGCTGGGCCAATGGGAAATGAAGTCGATGACGGGGTTATCAGCGAGAAGACACCTGCTAGCCGAAGCCCGGGTGTGTGAGAATTTGCCAAGGGAGGGTAAACAGTGCTGAGTGTTGCTCTAATAAAGGTCAAGTAAGACAAGCCCAAGCGGCCCTCCCTGTAGCTCCTTGTAGGGGTGAGAGCAGGTTCAGGGAGACGATCGGAGTGAAATCCAGACTGCCATGTGCCGAGAGGTGAGCGGATGGTTTGGACGCAGAGGCAGCCAGTGTAGACAAAGAGATTTGGCTCTAAGGGGAGGGTGGGGAGCGACAGGGCACCAGCCACTGGCATCTAGACTGTCCTTCCGGGGGGCTGCAGTGGGAAGGATGTTTACACAGTGAGGAGTGAGTTGTGGTCACTGGTGCATGGGGAGGCCTGGGAGCTTGGGGGGTGGGGGTGGCAGGAAGATAGCACGGACAGAGAATTCGCTCTGAACCGGAGGCGAGGGCAAGGCCGGACGTCATGGGATGAGGATGAGTGTGGGTGCAGAGAGGTTTGCAGATGGAGAAGGTGGGAAAATCCTGCTTGATGGAATCCTTCCTCTCAGAAGCATCAGCTCAGTCCAGAGATCTGTGAGGCCTCCTTGGAACTAGGCCTGCTATATCCTTGGCACCTGATAAGAGAGTGTTACGGGTTGAACTGCGTCCCGTCCACAAGTTCATACGTTGGAGTCCAAACCCTCAGTACTTCAGGATGTGGCTACATTTGGAGAGAGGATCTTTGAGGTGATCATTAAGGTTAAGTGAGATCATATGGGTGGGACCCTAATCCAACAGGACTGGTGTCCTTATAAGAAGAGGAACAGATCCAAGGATGCACACACAGGGAAAAGGTCATGTGAGGGCACAGTGAGGAGGTGGCCATCTGCAAACCGCGAAGGAAAAACCAAGCCTGCCGATAGCTCGATCTCGGACTTCCGGCTTTCAGAACGGTGAGAAAATAGATTCCTGTCTTTTAAGCCACTCAGCCTCTTGTTATGGGAGTCTTAGCTAGCTAATGCAAGGAGGATCAAGAGGTGGTAAGAAAAGAGGTGAGGGCTTGATGTACAAGTCACCGGCATCTATGGTCCATTGATATTAAAATTTAAAAAACGGAAAAAATATATCGAGCAAAACAAAGAAGATGTTTCCACTCAGAGGATGGGCTTCGGATTTAGACAGACCCACGTCTTCCAGCCAGCAAGTTGCATAACTCTCCCGAGTTTCAGAATTTTTATTTGTAAAAGGGAGATAACAAAGGGGCGTGGTGAGGTGAAATGAAACGTGTCCAAACGCTGAGCACACTACCCAGTGACCATTGCTCGACGTTACTAGAAAAAGCAGTGTGTAATGAGACGATGCTATTTTGGTGGTATTATTGAGAGATGAATTCCTGGGGCAGAAATGCTTGTGTTCACACCTCGTCATTGTCGCGAGGAGTTGGTGGGGGTTATGGCGCAAATACTGGCTCACAGGTAGGGCTTCGTACTGACTCAACTGTAGAACGGCCATGAGGGAACAACCCTAGGGAACCAAACTCAGAGAGGCTGAGTCGTGCTCGCACGCAGCATGACGCCTGGCACACAGTGGGCAGTCAAAAGGTATTGGCGGGTGTGTTCATGAATGAAGACAGTTCGCCGAGAATGTTCAGAGACCGAACATCCACCGCCATCTGTTGATGGGTGTATTATTAGTCAACCTCTTGGTGTTGCCAGTGACAGAAACTCATTCAAACCAGCCTAAGCCAAAGCAAATTTTTGGCTTTTTTTTTTTTTTTTTACAAATTTACAAATGGAGGGGGAGTTTGTTAGCTTGGAAACTGACAAGTCCAGACACCTGCTACAGGCTCGGTTGGATCCAGGGACAGAGATGCATGGCGTGATCTCTCTTCTGCTCTCCTGCATTGCCTTTACACCCAGGCAGGTGCGCTCCAGGAGGTGGTCCTGGCAGCTCCCTCCAGGCTCCCACCCTCCATTTACCCGGCAATTCATCTGGAAGAAAGGAAGCCTCCCTTTCCAAACAGTTCTGAGTCTTGAATTGACCCTGAGCCACCCAGCCGGAGTCATGAGACCATCCTTAGCCAATCAGCACTGCTCCAAGGCCTGGAAGTAGGGGAGGGATAACCTCTCAAAAGAAAAACGGGGAGCTTTCCCAGCAGGAGGGAGACTGGGTGCTAGGCAGGCATAGATCCCTGCTGCCCACTGGACCGAGTGTATCTGGTGAGGACCCAGGTCACCCATGGGTGACTATGTAAGAGAAGCATGCTACCTGGCGGACACATGGAGATGGGTAACAGAGGTGTGCTGGGTCCAGGCAGGACCACGGGCACTGAGGATTTATACCAGGGGACCTGGCCGAGGGGGCGTGTGGTAGATCGATCGCAAAAATTCTCCACCTGCCCCCGAATTCACATCTTCTGCAATGTGACATACAGCATCTCTCATCAAGAGTGGAGCCTATTTCTTTTTCCCCGTGTCCTGGGCTGGCTTTGTCACTTGCTTTGCCGATAGGCTGTGGTGGAAGGGGTAGTGTGCCAGTTCTGAGCTTAGGCCCCAAGGGGTCTTCTGTGCCTTTGCTGGTTCTCTTAGGCCCCTGCCTCTATCCTGTGAATGAACCTGGCTCAATAAGCTGGAAGATGAGAGGCCACATGAAGTCACCAGCTGTTGTGCCCAAGGCCTCACAGGAGAGAGCCCTGCGTAGTTATAACGTGAAGCTGCAGCTGACTCACAGATGACTGCAGATTCGGGAGTGGGTCCACTGAGCCCAGCTCGGATCAAACTGCCCTGGTGACCCACAGACTCATCAACAGTAAGTGGCTGCCATTTTAAGCAACTGGTTTTAGGACAGTTTGTTACATGGCATTGTGTAGGCAGGGGCAAGACGCAGGAAGCCAGTGGAGTGTGGGCACAGACAGGCCCAGCGGACAGTCCTCCTGGGGCGAACACACCAGTGCCCACGGGTAGCCATAGTTCACCTTCTTGGGGAGTGGATGCGCTGGCTCCTGCCTGGTGCCCCCAGCGCTCAGAGCCAGGGCTCAGCCTGGAGAGGGGGGCCCAGCAGAGTCCCGCACCTTCGGGATGGCTGAGGTAGCTGGTGACGCGGGCGCAGCAGACGCGGCAGCCTGAGGTCCTAGGCGTGCGAGGGACACACGCAGCCCAAAGCTCAGGGCAGTCCAAGCTACCGGTGGGGGCGCAGCCAGCAGCATTTCTCTGTGCTCTGGTTGCAGGGGGCGCGGAGCTGCCACGGTCACCAGGCCAGGGGCGACACCATCCCCGAGCTGCGCATGCCCTCCCCGGCCTGCAGGTCGCTGAGCGCTCGCTGGGGAGGGAGGAGCACGTGGAGAGGGCTTGGTCAGTGTCCCGGGAGCCCCCCAACACCAGTCCTGCCTCATCTCCCCAGGCCAGAGCCAAGGCACAGACCCGCCAGCACCAGCCGGGTCGGGTGGGTTGTGTGGGGGCCCTTTTCTGGGCTTTGGGGAGGGTCCCCCTCATTTAACCTCTGACCTCTCCTGAGGGGCCTCTCCACGTGGCTTACCTCAAACTTGCTCATGAACTCTGCAAAGATGCCGAAGAAGGCCTCGGAGGTGGTGGCTTTGGAATCCTCTCCAAAGAAAGCCAGCGCCTTGCCCAGCTCCTCCATGGCCTCGCGCTGCAGCCCGTCCAGTGCCCGCAGCACCGGCTGGGCTGTCTCCAGGAACGACTGATGGGCCTCTGTTAAGGAAACTACCGACCTGCTGGTGTCCCTGGGCCCCAGACAACAGCCTAGCCGCTCCGCTCCCGTCTGCCCCAGACCTTGTGCCAAGCTGGGAACCACGCCCGGTTCGGAGGCCCCAGTCCCTCTGTCCACTGCCCACGAGCTCATCCTGAAACCAGCCAGTCCAGCTTCAGGCCTTTCCCTTGCTCCCGTCTGCAGAACAAGTCCCTCTTCTCTCCTGGCTCTGCTCAGATGCCACCACCCCGTCTCCCCCGGCTATGCACTTGGAGCAGCCCTCGTCACTCTCCAGGCCTTGGTCTCTCTTTTTCTACGGCCTTTATCACTGTCTGAGCTCAGTGAGAATGTCCCCTCTCCTGACTGCCTCTGCTGCCAGGGCCTGACAGGCCTCTCCTTGTGGCTCGTGACTTAAGTCTGGGCTCTTCCACCCATGAGGACAGATGGGGCGAGGCAGTGGCTTCAGAGCAGTCAGAGAGCTCCGCTGTTACACATGGACTTGGCACTTGGACCTAAATGAGCCCGGTGGACCCTCTTCCAGCACCCCGAGACCCACAGCAGCCTCTGTAGACACTCCGCTGGGGACACAGCTGGTGCTCTCTGACACCCCCACCCCCAGGGGCCACTCCAGCTCTGGGACAGGCTGCTCGGAGGGTACCGTCATGACCACGGCAAACTTGTCCTCACTGGAGGGGACCATGCTCTGGCAGGCGGCCTGAATCTCACTGATGGTGCCATGGAGGTCAGCCAGGTCACTGGTCAGGGCCCGTTGGTTCACTGTAGAGAAGGGGACAGAGCCTCACGGGCCACGCTCCCAGCGAGGACAGCAGCGCCTCTGCCTCCGCACCCATCCACCCAGCCTACCTTTGGCAGCCAGGGGCACAGTGGGCAGGTCCTGAGCGCAGCCCAGGAGCTCAGGGAAGTGCTGGCTCAGCGATCTGGCGAGGACGTGCAGGAAGGTGGACTTCCCATCCACGGTCTTGGTGGAGTTCAGCTGCAAGTGACCCCCAACACACATCCTCCTCAAGGACCCCATCAGATTTCTGACCACGTGGGCCCACGTGCTGCTTCTCTCAGACTGTGGCTTCAACCCTGGCCCTCAACACTCACCAACTCCAAAGCTCAGACACCGATTGCCAGCATTTCTTACTCCACAGTCTTACCTGCAGGGCTGCCACAGGCCTCCCCAGGGGTTCGCAGGTTCCTTGGCCCAGATCTTGGCGACCTCTCCCCCCTCCCAGGAACCAGGACCCCAGCCCCCAACTAGGGGAGGGCCTTAGGTTCTTCTGCCTTTATCAGTAGATACAGCCCAAGATGCTCTGACCCCAGGGGGATGGGTAGCCTCATTCACAGATCTTCCCTCGTGTGGTTTTCTGGAAGCATCTGTGGCCCATCTGAGTCTCAGGCATCCTTAACCACTTGTATCTATCTACAAATGGACCCTCCTCTTCCTCTTGGAGCCAACCCTCCCTGCTCCCTCTACTCCATTAATCCAAACTGGCTTGGAAGAGTCCTCCCTCCACCCTCACCCTACCCGGGGCCACCCACCAACCTTTGCTGCAGTCACACCCTGGTCCACAGGCAGCCAGCTCTTCCTCTCGGGGAAGGGCCTTCCTTGGCCATGATGTTCTCTCCTGCCCTCTGCCACAGCTTGGTTGAGCCCCGCCTCTCCACCCTCGGTGGCAAAGCCAGCTAATCGATTACTACTGATGAGCCCCTCACCTCCGTCAGAAAGTTGATTTTGAAGCCCGTGGTCTTGTTGGTTTTGGGCTGTCCATCGTTGAGATAGTTGCCCATGGCCAACACGAACTGGAAAGGAAGGTGGGCAGGCAGGTACTTGCCCCACTGCTCCGCCCCTGGCCTGCACCCGCTCTGCATCGGGATGCACTTCCAGGCCGGAAGCCCCAGGGGGCAGGGGGACGGATAGAGTGACCGGGGAGGGGGTGCACCCTGACCTCCAGGATCTTGGCGAGCTTCCGGCTGTTCTTGAGCTCGAGGGAGGCCTGGCGCAAGCACTCCAGGCTGGCCCGGATCTCCTCGGTCTTCTCCTGCAGGGTGGCCTGGAAGTGGAGGCTGCGCAGGCGCGTCTTGTATTCGGGAACCGACAGCATCTGCCAGGAAGGCAGGGCCAGGATTCATCCACTGGCCAGGGGACCCACTGTCCCACCCGGCCCTAGTGGGGGGTCAGAGAGCCCGATATTCCCTTAGGAAAAATAAGCCCAACCGCCAAGGGGCACCCTCATCCCACCTACTTTGGACCGCGGGCGGGGAACTGCCCACTAAAGGTGTGAAACTGAAACTCAGAGGTTTGAGCTCGGAAGCGCAGGTGGAGCGGGACTGACGCAGCCTCCGGACAGAGCGAGAGCCCGGATCCAGGCGGCCGAGGCCGCTGGGCAGCAGCCCCTGACCCTGGGCGGGGGTCACGGCCGCCGCACCTGAAGGACGAACTGGTCCGGCTCGCTGAGGCGGCCGGGCGCCTCGCGGAACGCCTGGTAGCGCAGCTCCTCGTCCGCGTCGGGCGCGAAGAGCAGCAGCTGCGCCAGGTGCGCGGGCTCCAGGCGCCGGGGCTCCATGCTCATGAGCACCTGCCGCAGCTCCGCCGGGCTCAGCTTCAGGTGCGCCAGCAGGATGGCTGCGGGCGGGGCCGCTAAGGTGAGCCCGGGCGGGGCCTCGAGATCCACCTGGGCTACGGGGTGGAGCCTGGGGGGATGCCAAGGGGCTAGGGAGGGGCCTGGAGGCGGGGCCAGAACTAGGGCGCCAACGAGGGGGCGTGGCCTGTGCTGATCCCAAGGCTGGCACCTACCCTGGAGGGATCTGGCTGGGTGTGGGACCTGGGAGGGGACCTTCACCCCGCTGGGCAGCTGGCGTGTGTGGGGGCGTGGGGGTGGGAGGAAGCCCTACAACCGAATCTCTGTCATCCATGGGGCGGATCCGCGGCTCTGCGGCCCAGAGGGAGGGGCCGCATCCTGCTCCCTACATCCCCTGGGACGCCCCGGCCCCTCACAGGTGTTGTAGGCCTTCTTGTGCGACAGGATCTCCACCACTTCCTTCTTCCTGAAGGGCTCAGGCCCGGGCACTGGCTCTGGAAGAGAAGCTGATGGTTTAATCAGGGAAGGCCAGGCCGAGGCTGCCGCGGAGGGCCAAGAAGGGGTGTGGCCACAGCCCAGACGCCCTCTGACGGTGACCTTGACTGAATCAGCTCACGGTGTCCACAGTCCTCACTCATGGACCCTCGGGCCCAGTCTAACACGCTCGACACGCATGGTGCGTGTTCCTCTTCCCATCCTCTCTCCCTCGGGTGCATGGAACTGAGTTGGCCGAGTAAGGAGAACCAGCCACCTCTTGACCTGGCAGAGGCTTCCTGGGTGGACAAGGGCCTTTCTCTTCCATCCTAGGACCACTTTCCACACATAATATCCCTGGCTGCCTGGAGCCCCACCCAACAGCCACAGGGAGATACCAGAGGGGGTGGGGTGAGAGGGAGGACTCGAAGGGACACTCGTAGATGTCCGCCTTCTGGCTGTGTGACTGAGCAGATCACCTAGCCCCTCTGTGCTTTCTCACTGGGAAGTTGTCAATGTCGCAGTATTAGTTTTGAAATGGCATTTGGTAAGCATGCAATAAATGCCAGCTGTTATTATTATCTCTGTTTTGAGATGGGAAAACTGAGACTCTGAGAAGTTAAATAACTCAGGGACACAGTAGATGGCAGTCAGTGCAAACCTGGGGGGCTCCAAGCCCTGGGATGCCACAGAAAGCAGCAGGTGGGCTGTCACATAGAGCCTGGTATCGGGGTCCCCCAGGGCCCTCAGGCCACTCACTAGCAGGTTTCTGGGTACCAAAGTGAAGCTCCAGGTCAAGGTATTTCACCATGTCACTCAGCTTATCATAGTCAGAGTCTTCGCCGAGCTGCAAGGGAGGGCGAAGGCACAGAGTGAGGAGGAAGGCTGGCAGCTGGACACCGCTCCCCACCCTGCCCACCCTCTGAGGGCTGCTCTCCCCGAGGGACAGCCCCCATTGGGGGTGAGGTACACCTGGGGGCTGAGGAGTCTGCAGGAGAAGCGAAATCCTCCCAGTTATCGGTGGTGAGCCAGCTCCTCTCGTGGTCAGTGACCCACACTTGGACACCCTGCGCCCAGAAGCCAGTGGCTCGCAGGGGCGGGGGAAAGGGGCTGCTATGGAATCAGGGAAATGCCAGGGGCTAGACGGTGGCCAAGGTCTTGGTCTCAGTGCTGCTGCCCAGGCCGCTTTCTCCTGGCGCAGGGCGCTGTGGGGCCCCAGGTCGCCCACCTGGCCCCAGATGGTGCCTTCCGAGTTCTCCACCTGCTCCCATCGCAGGCGCTTGACGCTCGTGTGGCTGGTCCCACTGCGGCGGTGGCCCAGGCCCCGGGACAGCACGGGGGAGCTTTGGCAATAGGCATCCGTGTGTCATGATCTGAATTCTGAGGCTGGGGGTGTGAGTGTGAAGGGAAGAACCAGACTGACTGGAATCTGAAAAGGTCAACTGGGAGCACAGCTGTTTGCCTGGGGCATCGCCGGGAGCCAAGGCCAGAAGCTGAGGATGAGTCAGAATGGGCATGGGCACCACAAGCAGGGGATGTGGTCGGAGACGGAGGAGTAGGTCAGGGAGCTGCCTTCCTCGCTGCTGCTAATGCACTCGCTGGCGCTGCTCCGCTCATTGGTCACGAAGCTGCCCTGGTCGTCGTGGAAACTCATCTGTGGGGGCAGAACAAGGCAAGAGGAGCGCCGGGCTGGACCCAGAGACGCAGGAGCACGGGGCGCGAGGCAGAGGAAAGTGGGGTAGTCCGGGGCAGGGGATGGGGTAGCCTAGGGACAGGACAGGATAGTCTGGTGGGTCAGCCTGAGGCTGCGGGTGGGAAGGCCTGCTGAGGAATGGGGGAACCTGAGACAGGGTGTATGGGGGGTAGCCTTGGGTAAGGGGTGTCATAGCTTGAGTCAAAGGGCGGGGTAGGATAGCTCGAGCCAGGGAGAACAGTGGCTTGGGACAGGTCCCCAGGGATACTGTTCCTCTGGCAGACCCCCTCTCACACCTGCTCCCCGGCCTTCCACACCCGCCCTCATGCTCACCTCCTCATAGTCATTCTCGGGGCTCAGGAAATCATCCACGACGGTGACCCGGGGGCCCAACTGCTCACTCAGGGCATCCAGGAAGCGGTCAGTATCCCGGGTCCGCGCAGGCCGGGAGAAGGTGAAGAGCTTGCGGCTGGGCTGGCGGGCGAGGTCCGGGCTGGGGGGGCTGTCGGAGTGGATGGGCCCGTGGTCTGGCTGTGGGGAGGGCGCCCTGCTGCTGTCCAGGCTGGCGTAGGGGTGGGACTCGGAGCTGCTGGGGGAGGCCGGGCCCCCCGAGCACAGCGGGTAGTAGCAGGGGGAGGGCACGAGTCTCTCGCTGGGCCATGAGACGCTGGACAGGGTCCTGGGCCCTGGGGTGGGGGAGGGTGCATGAGGACCCCTCTTCAGTCAGTACCTGGGTTCCAGGTGCAGGCTGGAGGGGAGGGGCCGGGGCAGGTTGGCTGTGTGTCCTCTCGACACAGCACGGGAAGAACTGGGTGACCCCATCCCCCCATGTTCTTCCTTGATGGTGATCGAAGTCCAGACGGGACGACTGCTTAGGCCCGGGACAGGCCAGACCCCAGCTCATCTTGAAAGGAACTCCAGGGGTCCCACCTGGGAACCACTGAATACAAGGGCCGTGGGCTTTCTCCGGGTCCCCGACCAAGGTCATGAGTCACCTCCTATACCCAGCAGGCCCTTGGCGCACAGGAGCACCACCCAGGGGCCCTGCCTTCTGAACTGCAGAGAATTCATCACCTGTGTCCTGTCAGCAGCCATCTTTCCAGCTATGCCATTCACAGAGCAAGGCACTCACTCGATAGTTCATCCAATAGCCACATGCTAACTTGGAGACCCTTTTGGGGCAGTCCTCTGCTTTCTAGATCCACAACAGGGGTGAGGATCAGAGGGAACACGTAAGGACAAGGACAACCCTGACCTTGATGGCCCCCCACACCATGATGGCCGCTGGGGTTCCCTGCAACTTAGTTCTATGGCCATGGAGCAAAGAGGAGGCTCCACATTGTGCCTGGAGGTGGGGTAACTCCCAGCCAGTGGACAGAGGCCAGCGCCACCGTCAGGAGCTGGGCCGGTTGAGCCCCTACCTGCCGTTCCTGCCGGGTTGGGCACTGGCGGGGAGGCACGGGATCTGGACGTGGTCCCCATCTTCCCTTTGAAGCTGCTGCTCAGTCGGGACTCCAGCTCCGCATAGACGGCTGACATCTGTGCCGGCGGCGGTGGGGTGAGTCCAGCCACCCTCACCTCCCCCGCGTGGCCTTGACAGGAGGCCAGGCCTGGGCAGTCTGGGGGGCAGGGTCGGCCCCAGCCCCCCACTGACACCACCAGGGGGGCAGACAGGTCTCACCATCTTGGGATTGGGGGTCTCGGGGAGGGACGTGCCATCGCCCGCCTGGCGTTCGCCTGGGATCAGAGGAAGAGGCATCTCGGGGCAGTCGCTGGGACCTGCCAGGAATGTGGGCGGGTGGGGGGGAGAGGGGCAGGGCAGAGTCAGCTACTGGAGGGTTTGGTGACCACTTCTGAGCTCTGAGGCTCAGGCCCCAGCCCAGCTGCAGCCGGGGGCCATGGAGAAAGAACCTGCCAGCTCTGCAGACCCGGAGGGTCCCCGCTCGGCCCCTTCCTGGGGGCTTCTCATCCCACCAAGCCCCGGTTTCACCCTCGCGCCCTCTCCAGCCTTTCTGCCCCTGGCCTTACCACAGCCCAGGCTGGCCTCCAGACCCGGGGACCGGAGGCTGCGGCGGCACACGGAGGAGGCCCTCAGGGAGCTCCGGGGCTGGGGCTCGGGCACCGGCTCTGGCTCTGGCTCCAGCTCCGGCTCCAGGTCCAGCGAGGGCTCAGGCTCTGATGTGGGGCATAGAGGGGGGATGGGTCCTTGTCCTCTCAGCCAGACAAGGAGCCACTAAACACAGGGACGGCGGGCCCAGCCTGCTAGGCTCCAGGACAGTCCTCAGGCGGAAGTCCGGGGTGAGAAACTGGGTTCGGGGGAACAGGATCATGGGAGTGGAGGCTGGGGAGGTGGCTGCGGCCCAGCCCTCAGGGCCTCTTCTCCCGACAAGAGCCTATGACCCCATCATCCAAGGTCTCAACACCTAGTCACTGCTGCCCAGTGACTTATGGGGTAAAAAGAACAGTTCCAGTCTAGGCATATGTGTGAGGCCATCTGCCCAGCCTACATCGAGTTTCTTGCTAAAACCCTCGACCCTCCCCCAGGTGCATCGGGTGAGTATGTGCATGGCACGTGGGCACATCTGTGTGTGGTGGGACCCCAGTCAGCTGTAACACCTCACAGGTGAGAACAGGTGTCACCTGGTGGGCCGGGACGGGGAGGGGCCGCTTACCTGTCATGGCCGTGTAGCCCAGGAAGCACGCGATTTTCTCCTGGCAGAGCTCCTGCTCCTCATAAGTCAGCAGCTGATAGATGAACTGCCAAAGCACCTGCTTGGCAGGTGTGTCCAGCACAGGGTAGACATCGACGATGAGGGTGTCGATGTTCCTGGGGGAGGATGCAGGAAGAAGAGGCTCATTACCGAGGGGCTCATCATAGGGTGTGGGGTAGGGACGGGAGAAGGGGACACTTCCAGGCCACAGAATTCAAGCTCATGCCCTGTCCCCTCCCTCCTCTCCACTGCCAAGACAGAGAAGTGGGCAGGAAGGAGGATTGTGGGGGCAGGCCGCCCAGATTCAAATCCTGCCTCTGCCACTTACCAGCCAAGTGACCTTTCTCAAGTTACTTAACTGCTCTGTGCCTCAGTTTCCTCATCTGTAAAATGGGGATGAAAATAATATCTAGAGCTGTCGTGAAGATAAAAATGTATGGAGTGTATTGGGAAAGCTGAGTCACTGTATCAGGGATCAGTAAACGATGGCCCATGGGCCAAAATTACGGTCGCCATCTGTTTTTGTAAAGAAAGTTTTATTGGAACATGGCCACATCTATTTGTTTACATAGTGTCTATGGCTGTTTTCAAGCGACAGCAGCTGAGTTGGAGACCATATGGTCTGCAAAGCCTAAAATATTTACTCTCCAACCCTTCAAAAACTAGTTTGCTGATCCCTGCATTATGTGGAAAAAATAAAACCGGATCCTCACATAACACCACACATCAAGAACTCTAGGTGGATAAAACAGCAAACTGTGAAAGATAAAATTATAAAATTAATAGAAGGTCATGCAGGAGGATATCTTTTGAGCTAGGGGCAGGGGAAGTTTTCTTAAACAAAATTTCTACGCCAAAGCAATGGGACCCAATGTGCACTGAATTCGATTATACAAAATCAAGGATATCTGTTCTGAGAAACATAACTTGGACACATTAACATTAGATATAACAGAAGTAAAAATGGAAGTAACAAACTCCTGCAAATCAACACGAACAAAAAGCCCAATAAAACAAAAATGGACAGAAGGGTCCAAACAGGTCATTTACAGAGAAGGAAATGGAAAAAGTTGACAAGGATATTAAAAGATGTTTAAAATAATAATTAAGAACCCCAAATAAAGTAACGAGATGTCACTTTATGGCTAAAAAGACTAGCAAAAATACAGAGCTGGATAGTGCCAGGTGTTGGTAAGGACGTGGGGCTGGGGGACCCCGTTGGTGTGGGTGAAACTGCCCCAGGAAGCAATTGGCACGACCTAGTTAAATTAAGTAAACAACTACCTTAATATGCAGCAATTCTGCTCTTAGAAATAAATTTCAAATGAATTGTACACAGCTCCGCAGGGAAGTGAGCACGATGACGTTCATCACAGTGTTATTGTGACGGGAGAGAGTGGAGGTGACCCAGTGTCTGTCGCTGGCAAGGTAAAGAGAGCTAAGACAAGTGGCTGTGATCCCTGGGAATTTGGCTGCAGCTGTAGATGGTGTTCGAAACGGACACAGAGAGACATGGACAGATCTAAATACAGAGCAGGTAGTGAAAAAAAGTCAGACGTGGAATGCAATAGAGAGCACGATGATGATGTAAAATAAAAATACATCATACGGAGCAATGCCCACTTTCGGAGAACAGCTTTAGACGAAAGGATGCCCATGAAACTCATCTGCCTGGGACTCAGAGATGGAGCGAGGCCAGAAGGGAATGAAAGGTGGAAGTACCCCAATGTCCATCAGCTGTTGAACGGATAAACAAAATGTGTTCTAGCCACACAATGGAATCTTACTTGGCCATAAAAAGAGAATGAAATAGATGTTCTAAGTTGGAGGAACATTGGAAATATTATGCTAAGTAAAAGAAGCCAGACACGAAAGCCCACATATTGAAGGATTCTATTCATATGAAGTGTCCAGAACAGGGAAACAGAAACAGAAAAGAGATTAGTGGTCGCTGAAGGTGGGAGGGGCAGAGAAGGGAGTGGGCGATGGCGAAAGGGTGCAGGGTTTCTTTTTGAGGTGATGAAAACGTTCTAAAATTGAGCGCGGTGATAGGTGTACGCATTGGCGAATATGGTAAAAGCCAGTACACTGTGCATTTACGTGGCTGAATAGTATGGTACGTGAATTACATCTCAATAAAACTTTAAACAAAAAAAGACAAACAGGTGAGGGGCTTTGCACGAACCACGTCAATGAGCCTGTTCACTGAGGAGTGTGACAAATGCAGCCTGCCGTCACTGAGGTGTGACAAGAAAGGCATCAAATCAACCCCCAAAGGGCCTGGCTGATAGCGAGTGCCCACAGCCGGGAATTGTGAGGGTCCCATCGATAACGCTGCAGGTGGGAACTGTACAGAGAAGACCGTGACTTGCCCAGGTCACGTGGCTAGGAGGTTTCAGAGTCAGGGCTTGTTCTAGGGCAGCCCAGTTGTCGCCACCTTGGGGTCCCGGTACCAGCCGCTGCCTTCTTTGAGCCTCCCCCAGGAGAAGGGGGGTGAGGAGGCTCAGGCAGGGAGACCCAGATGGTGAGTCTGGGCAGGATTTGGGGTTCACCCAGGGGAGGTCCCCACCACCACTCTGGCCCGGCCACCTGTGCTGGAAGAAGCTCTCGAGGGCTCGGCACACCCCATAGCGCTCGGGAGGCGTGAGCAGGTGCTCCAGCTGCTGGCTGAAAGTCCTCCCCTGCACGCGGATGCTGGACGGCAGAATCTCCGCCACCCACTGCAGCGAGGTGAGTGCCGACGACGGGTTCGGGGAATCCAAGGAATCAGAGTCTGCAGGGCCGCAGGCAGGAGAGGCACAGGTGACCCGGCACCACCCCCCTCCACGCGCGTGCGCACACACACACGCACACACACACACACACACACACACACGCACGCCGGCCAGGTGTCGGTTTCTCTCAGCGGTTAGGGGACCTCCTGAGCAGGGCTGCGGCTGCTCAGCCCAGCCCCATGCAGTGGGAGGCACATCTGCTGGCCAGGTGTCGGTTTCTCTCAGTGGTTAGGGGACCTCCTGAGCAGGGCTGCGCAGCCCAGCCCCATGCAGTGGGAGGCACATCTGCTGCCTACAGCTTGGGGCGGGGATGGATGGAGAGCCACGCGGGACCCTGAGGTGGTCCCACTGGGCTCTACAGTGCCACCTGGGGAAGGATGCTGCAAGTTTGGGGGGAAATCGGGGTGAGGGGCGTGCCTCGGGGTCTCTGTGGGCCACAAGGCCAAAGTGGCAGTGGGAGTCTCACCGCTGGCGAACGGGACGAGCCCCTCCTCCACCACCAGCGTGGGCATGGCGCCACTGCCCTGCAGCATGGACACCACCTTGTCGTGGGAGCAGTTCCTGCCAAGCGGAGATGGCCCAGGAGGGCCTGAAGGATGAGCCCTGTTCACAGCCACCTGCCGGGCCTCCCTGTCCTGCTCGCAGAGGCCACACGGCACGTCCACAGCAGGGCCAGGACCACCAGCCAGGGCCCTGCCTCTCCTGCTCTTTAATCTCTGCAGGGGAAGATCCAGGCCCAGCGCCAGCTGGACACTTCAGGGCACAGAAGGGGTTGCACCCATGTCGCCCCAAGCCAGGCTTTCCCTGAAGGGGACGACACAGATGGTCTGTGTCCCATGGGGTGTTTTCTGGTTGGACGGACTGATGTCCTAGCTAGGGTGGGAGGAGAGACCTGAGAGTTCCCATAGGAAGAGGGACAGACCCTGGGGACCAACTGGTCAGAGGAGATCAGGACCATGCCTGGATGTCCCAAGAGGCAGCAGTCTCGGGGGACAGTTCACCACCAAGCTCTGGTGTCCCCAGTAGCCTCTGACCTCATGTCCAGTCCGTTGAGGAAGAGGATCCGGTCGCCGGACCTGAGGGACGCATTGTCAGCTGGGCTCCCTGGAGGTGAGAAGGGAGGGTTTACAGGCGGGAAATGGGACGGGTGGCAGACGAGAGCCAAATTCAGGCCAGCGGTGCCCGCACTAGACCCAGCACCTCTCTGCTCTCGGCTGCTCTGGGCTGAGCTGGGGGTGGGCGTGCTCGGGGCGCGGGGACCAGTCAGCCTGAGCTGCTGGGGCAAGGTGGAGACAAAGGAGGTCTTGAGAACAGTGCTTCCCAGCACATGTGCCCCAGCAAGGACCCCGCTGCAGACACCGTGCTCAGGCCCCTCAGCCCCCACAGGTCCTCGTCATAGATTCCCCTGTGGCTTTGTCACCAGGAGAAAATGTGTCTGCTTGGAGGGAGGCAGTCCTCTCCCTCAGGCTGGAAAACGCGGTGTATTAATCATGCATTTTAGGTGTTGATATCTTGGGGACTTGCTCACATTGGAGGGACTGTCCCTCCCGGTACTAGCCAGTTCCTCGAGATAGCAAGTGTCTGTCTGCAAGCGTGCCTTTGAAATGCAAGCCCATCAATCCTGAGCCACACCCCACCCCCTCCTCTGTGGGCTCTCACACTCTGAGCCGCAGGCATCTGTCCTAATCACCCAGGGCCAGGCACCACACAACCAGGGTCCGCCCCTGTGCCTAGACCCCACTGAACCTATTCAAACAGCCACCCCTCCTGAGTCTGCTCGCCCTGCCTCGCCTGTTCCTTCCCACAGAAACCACAGTAAAGGCTCTCGTCAGCGTTGTCCCCCTCCCTCTGCTCCTGACCTGCCCTGGAGCTTCCCTGTGTGGCCCTGCGAGGCATGGCGCGCTTGCTCTTCTGGGGAACCGTGAGGAACAAACTGTCTTTTCAATGGCAACCATCTCCTGATCTGTTGGCCTCACCATATCTGAATAATAATAAAACCTACATTTTAAACACATGGGGGCACCTAATTTAATTCTTCCTCTTTGCCTTGATGGCCCTGACGACCAGTACCTAACACCTGGGGAAGGGGTGGCTGGTAAATGCGCTCCCGTGGTATAGACTTCTTTACTTTCTGCCCCTTTTAATAATTGTCACTGAATTAGATTTAGAAGTATGGAGGAGGGATGATGAATGCCTAAGCGAAATATGTTCTCAGATCGTAAGTTCTCTCTTCGGGCTGTGGGGATGGTCAGGAGAGGAAAGGGAGGATCAGGGAGGACTTCTGAGAAGATGGGTATGGGGTCAGGTCCTTCTCCTGGGACTGAAAAGGGGGCGGGGATTATGATGATAACAGATCCAAGCTGGCCTGCCCGGAAGCTTGGGCCAGCCCGGGGCAGGGGGAGGCGGTGAGAGGGGTTGTAGCAGGGGATTAAAGATCACTGGATCAGGGGTCAAGAGACTTCGGGTTCTGGTCCTTGATTTGCCAGTCTCTCTAGGCTTCAGTTTCCTCCTCTGTGAAAGCTCCCATCAAAGCATCCATTTGACTTCCTATACCAAGGACGGCATGGGGTTACCAGCCTGGATGCTGGGATGGGGAGAACAGCACACCTGGATTTTAACATGGCCCTAGGCCAGGTATCTCTGGCTACACGCAGGGGGAGAGGCGAGGAGATGGGGGTGGAGAGGAAGCTCCCCAGAGGGCAGCCTTGGGCCTCTTCCCAATGACAGCACGTCCACAACTTAGTGGTGCACAAATTCGAGAAGACCCAGAACACATCAGTCAACGGGACTAGGTCTCAGAAAGATCCGATGGCTGGAACAGTGATGCGAAGACGTGGAGGTGCGTTTCTGGGGATCAGAAGATGCCCGTCTCGCAAACCCGTGCACTGGGCGCGTGAGACGCAGAGGATAGAAAAGACTCAGCCTCAGCAGAGGCACTGATGGGGATGTGTCACCAGGAGCATCATGCTCAGGGGCTGGGAGGGGATGGGTGCAGAACAAAGCAGATGGCCCAGCCCTGTGGGGCGGTTACAGGGAGAGAGAGTTGGGTTCAGCACCAGGAGACACTTCTGCCCCTACTTGCACCCCAGACCCCCCACACGGAAATGGGCTGCCTCTCACAGAAATTAACTTTTTCCCACACCTGCAGCCACTGGAGGGAGGGAAGGAGGAATTCCTGCTCTGCCTTCTTCAAGATGCCACCACTCCAGGAGCAAGAAGGGGAGGGGAGGGTAAGGGGGGTCCGGATTGGGGACTGGATAAAGGGCAGAGGCCCTGAAGCCCTGTCATCTCTCCGGGTCTGGCCCACCTGGCAAGGGCCCATTTCCCAGTGGGCACTCGGCACAGGCAATGCTGTTTGTGGGCAGCCTAGGCAGATGCCAGCTCTGCCCTGGCAGCCTGTCCTGGAAGTACCCTAGCCCTCCCTGTGGACATAGGCAAGGTCTGAAGAGAGAACTTGGTCCACTTGGCTCAGGGCCGATCCTGAACTTGAATGGGGTTTGCCCCAACTCGGGCAGATGGATGATTTGGATCTGCTCCTCTGGGACACTCAGAGGACACTCGCTACATGAGGTCGGTACCTGGGGACGGGGAGAGGGGAGGGTGCTGAGTAGCGGCTTAGTAGGGTCCTTCACCCCATCCTGGACAACCTGCCCGCCCCTCACCAGGCAGGACAGACTCGATCCAGACAGGCCCGTGGCCGCGCAGCGTGAAGCCGAAGCTCTTGTTGCCCTTGTAGACTCGGACTGTCCTGGGGAGAGAGAATGGGCGGGTGGGGGCGAGCGGTGTGCCCTGCCCTCGTGAGAGGGGGCTGGGGAGCGCAGGGGATGGTTAAGTCCGGTGTCCGCTCCCCTTAAGCTCGCCTACTTTCGCCCCGCACCCCCTCGTCT